TAATGTGTTGGTGATTTCTAACATTCTGGGTAGCATTCATATTATACAAAAAATGGGGGGTTTGCGTATTTTAATGATAATGATGACCTTATTTACACATCACTTCTCACCTAGAAGTCTCTAAAACAACTCTTCACACCTTGAAAACTATGGATCATAGTTTTTTTATCCAATTCATTAAATTAGAGAACTTCTGATTTACACTGTGAAAGTGAGTCAAGAATCAAACCCTATGTATAATGTGATATTTTTACTCTCTACTGACATGCTGCTGCCTCTGGGGAAAACTCTGTAATACATCTACAAAGCATAAAAAATGGGAACTACTGTTGTTGCAATTTTAGTCTACTGGTTAGGGCTGCACACATACTGTTTACTATTTATACTTACTTTAAACCTTTAAATATTCTGCTATGTACAGCTGTGACGAAATAATTGAGCAAAGTAGAAAATACTGGATATGTGTTTTTAACTCTTGGCTTTCCAATGCCTTTGAATGATCAGCTTCCATCAATGGTTGAATTTTATTTTGTTTGCTTGTATTAGTGTGTGTGTGGTTTATGCATACTTAAATTTGGGGCATAGATTATACAGTGCTATAATACTGGTAAGTTGACCACTCAGAACAAATACCATCGTTGTTCACCCCTCTAGCGTTCATGAAAATTACTCCCAGTATAACAAGGTGAATGCTTAACTGATACCAGGTTAATAATAACACTATTCCTTTCTCTAGTACGTGCATGTGTGTTATTTATTCTTGTGGTTCTCGTACATTATTTGAAGTTACTACGGCAACCTGTCACCATCTGGTATTATAAAGTATGCTGGGATTTGGGTTGCTAGGTGCTGAAGTTTGTTGCCTTTCTCATGCAGCCCTAATATTTTCATTGTGCTGCTGTTCCCATTAGCTTTGCACACACAGCTTGATTGCAGTGACTAACAGGGATAGGTCAAGTAGATACCTCCCTTTTTGCCCCTATAAAGTTTTACAAAGCTTTATTTGTTTTTCTGGCTGCATGGGTTATGGCTGCTCATACATTTTATTTACACTTTAGAGATTATCATTTCCTTTTGGTTTAGATTTTTCAGTATTTATACTAATTCCAGGAGCCAGAATATTAGAAATATTTAAAGTTGGATGGATCTATCGTCACTTTTCTCAGTGGTCAGGAGTTTCAAACATTTGCTGGAAGAGTGAGTTTGCTCATCTGTATCTCACTTTTATTTGACATCCTACTTACTCTGTGTTCCTGCTAATGCTAATAAGCACAATATTCTAGCATATACCTCATATTCCCTCATCTACCTCAGAACCCTGCTGTAATTCATTTTTCCAAAAACTGCCAGCCATTTGGGTTATATTCTCAGTGAGGTGTTAAGATAGTTCTGTCCAGGTAGGCACATTTTTATTGGACCTTTTAATAATAAGACTTTATTCCAAACAGGATTCTGTTTAATACTTTTTAAAATATTCCCTCAATAATCAAGGGTTTACAGTAATCACACTTATCGTTACACATGTTGGACCTAGTTTCAATCATGCATCTGTCTGCTGTGATTCATTAGATGCATCTTAACAAGCCCATGTACAGTTTAAATGACTTGTCAAGTTGTACTCTCTTTCCTTCCCCTCCTTTTTTTTGGGGGGGGGGGGGCATTTAAATATTCTGATCTCTCCATACTATGTGCCTTTTAAAAAGTAATTTAGTTGGGCAACTAGCATGTTTGCAGAAGGTGCCTGACTATGAATTTCTAATTCCCAAATTGTAAATATACAAAGTGAACTCAAAAACTGATTGATGGTTTGCATGTAGTGTATTTTTAGGTAGTTAATGCTTCTTACCTCCTGTACTATAAGTATTTAAAGAGTGTAGGATAATATTCATGCATACATATTGAAATTCCAGATTTCGTTGACAGAACTGTCATCTTTAAGTATATTAAGTTCTAGCTGTGAGAATAATGATGTTGAGAGTATCAGGTCAGTTGTGAAATAAGAGGTTGTATGTGGGAAGTCTGTGTTTATTGCTGGCTTTTGAGGAGGGGAAGGGAAGAAGTTTTCAATTAGAAAGAGAACAAGTAGATAATAGCCAGGATTGTTACATGATGATTAAAGATCAAACTGGAATAAAGTTAATATATTGCCTGACTCCACATGAAATGGTTGGAGGTAGAATTCTTGACAGCAAATTTGCTCAATTGTCACTTTTCATTTAATATATTAGTCAGTCACATTGCTGTGAAATATGACAGGTTTGCTCTAGAAACTAGCTAGCAAAATTGTGATGATACTTATTGATGGCAGAACTGTTTTTATTAAACAAAATATGTTGTGTGTTAATTTTCACAATTTCCAAACACAGTTACTAAGAATATATACTCATGCAGAACTATAATACTAGATACTGCTACACAGATCCAAAGTTGATTTCAACAAACAAACAAACATTCTTAAAGTCATCTAAGCCAAATGGCAACATTGTACATCTATCAGAGACTTGTAAAAAGACATTGTTAATCTTAGCAAATGATAACTTAAAATAAGCGGGTGATCATTCTGTAGTATCTTTGAAAGCATTTTAAAGAGGAAAATACAAGATATGCTTTTTTTTGCGTAATACTCCTTAACTTGTATTAGCATTTTTTTTTCAAAATTAAAATAAAGGTACTAGAAAAAAGTCTCACACTGCATTCATTATAGATAGCTTACTACTCCTGCCAGTTGTAAATTTAAAAGTGCAAAGAGACTTATTTGAGGAATACCTATGAAATAAATCAGCATTTCCTTTTAGCAGACCATCAATAACCAAAATTAAAAATCCTTACCTGAAAGCTTTGGGATTACCAGCAGAAAATGTATCTTCTTAGTCTTATGTAGTAGGCAAGGCTCTGACTAGCACTAATGTTACTCCAAAAGAATGTTTAATAAGTCCTTAATATTGTAATTTTCTCTGTTTATATGCAAGAAGTATACTGGGTCTGCTCACGTAGGAATAAATAAAAAAAAGCAGTACAAACTGAACAGCAGCTACCATATGAAAGTAAAAGACCTCTAGTGGCCATAACCTGAAGTTAAAAAAGGCTTCCTTTTCTGTAAGTGGTAGACAAAATGGTTGGGTACGGCAAACTGAAGCTGATACTTTTCAATGATATGTGACCTTCTTGAATTCATGACTGTAACAAAGTAGAGAATGAGTCAGGAGTAGAACAGAAATCTGATTCCTAAAACCCATGACAAGTTAGAAATTGACTTCTGGCTGAAAAGATCAGGGAGTCACTTGGATTGCTGATAAATCAATTTAAGTAAAAGTTTTAAGTAAATCCATTGGAGAGCAGTTATTTTTCCTCCATGCCTTTGCTTTGTATGTTTTTCCTTTAGCAAAATTCACAGAGTATTTTGAGCTGCTTCATTATAGAAAGTATTATCACAACTTTAGAAAGATAAAAAGTATTACTGAGAGGAGATACTGTATTCCTTAAAGAAAGCTCCAGTCATTTAACTCATCATTATAAGCTTTGACAGATAAGCATTTTTCACCATCAGTAAACTGAAAAGGAAGACAGGACTATAAACTGCTTTCATTTCTTTGTTAAGATCCAGAGGAATATAGTGTTTGTTTCTTGAAAAAGCCTAAAGAATTTAAAGGAGTATAGTATCCTTATTTTGCATTTTGTCTTTCCTGTACAATTACGTAAAAATGGTAAAGTAATTATGATGATTGGAAAGAATTTCATAGCATTTTTTATTATCTATGAATCTGTAATGGAAAAATCCTGTGGAATATCACACTCACTTTAGGAATCTTAAACTAGTACTAAGACAGGTCCTGAATAAAGTTAAATTATTTTGATTATATCGTCTATTGCATGGATGTTGATTTCCTTATTGTTAATTTCTTTCTGTTTTAGAGTCATTTTGTGGCATGTATGACAGCAATCTTAAGCCAAATGGACAACCAGCATTACTCCTTTTACATTGAAACCTTTCAGACAAGTTCAGAACTGGTGGTGAGTACAAAGCAACTCAACAAATAACTATTAACATATTTCATAGATTTCTAGAGTCGGAAGGGACCTGGTAGATCATCGGGTCCAACCCCATGCTCCAGGCAGGAAAGAGCACTGGGGTTATGTAACCCCAGCCAGATACTTGTCTAATCTCCTCTTGAACACCTCCAGGGTAGGGGAAAGCACCACCTACCTTGGAAGTCCATTCCATGTTTTGGCAACCCTCACCGTAAAGAATTTCTTCTTTATGTCCAATCTAAATCTGTTCCTCAGTTTGTGGCCATTATTCCTGGTAACCCCAAGGGGCACCCTGGTAAACAGAGTGGCCCCTATTCCCTGCTGCCCCCCCTCACCCCCAATGAATTTGTAGACAGCCACAAGATCACCTCTCAGCCTTTTCTTGTGGAGGCTGAAGAGATTCAGATCCCGTAGTCTGTCTTCATAGGGTCTTACCTGCAGGCCCTCAACCATACAAGTAGCCCTCCTCTGAACCCTCTCAAGGTTATCCACAACCCTCTTGAAATGCAGCACCGAAAACTGGATGCAGTACTCCATCTGCTGCCTCACCAATGAGGGGAATCATCATTTCCCTAGACCTGCTTGTGATACTCCTGCTGATGCAAGAAAGAGTGCACTTAGCTTTGCTGATTACCTCGTCACACTGGCAACTCATGTTCATTTTTGCGTCAACCAGGACTCCGAGATCTCTTTCCACTGTTGTGGTGCTCAGAATGGTACCCCCCGGTCTATAGGCGTGTTGGAGATTCTTTCTCCCCACATGCAACACCTTGCATTTATCTTTGTTGAATTGCATCCTATTCTGATCTGCCTACTTCCCCAGTCTGTTCAAATCTGCCTGAATTCACTCCTTGCCTCCAGTGTGTTTACTGTGCCCCATAGTTTAGTGTCATCTACAAATTTGGACTAGGTGCTTTCAACACCTTTGTCCAAATCACTGATGAAGATATTAAACAGTACTGGTCCAAGGATAGAGCCTTGGGGGACACTACTGCCTACATCCCTCCAGGGAGAAACCAACCCATCCACCACCACTCTCTGGGTGCATCCCATAAGTCAATTTTTCACCCACCTTACTGTGAAAAAAATCAACATCGCTGTTACTCAGTTTGCTCATAAGAATTCGGTGTGACACTGTGTCAAAAGCCTCTTTTTAAATCCAGGTAAATAATATCTACTTCCTCCCCTGCATCTAAGCAATTTGTGACATGATCATAAAAAGACACCAGGTTAGTCAGGCAGGATCTGCCTGCTATAAACCCATGCTGGTTGCTCCTTACCATTGTGTTACCTGCTGGCCCCCTGCAAATGTAATCCTTTATGATTTTTTCTAAGATCTCGCTCAGAATAGAGGTGAGGCTAACTGACCTATAATTACCCGGGTCTTCTTTCCTCCCCTTCTTGAAGATAGGGACCACGTTAGCCCTTTTCCAGTCCTCTGGGACCTGTCCTAAGTGCCATGAGAGCTCAAACAGCTGTGCCAGTGGTTCTGCTATATCACTGGCCAATTCCTTTAGTACCCTTGGGTGAAGATCGTCAGGGCCTGCTGAATTAAATATGTCCAAACCTTCCAAGTGCCCCTTCACTAGGTCAGTGCTAACTGTTGGTGGATTGGTATTATGCTCACTCTAGACTAAAGACTCATTGGGAGGTGCATTTGTATCCATGTCCAGGAGAACAGAAGCAAAAAAATTATTTAAGAGCTCCACTTTTTCCATCCTATCAGTTATGAGTTGCCCTAGTCCATTCTGTAGGGGCCCTACATTACCCTGCACCTTCTTCCTGCTCCCGATGTACTTAAAGAAGGACTTCTTGTTATCCTTAATCTTTGTTGCCAACTTGAGTTCTGCAGCTGCTTTGGCCTTTCTCACTGCTTCCCTGCAAATGCGAGCCAAGTAGGTATCCTCCTCCTTGGTGGCTGCCTCCTGCTTCATAGTTTCATAGTTTCTAGGGTCGGAAGGGACCTGAGCAGATCATCTAGTCCGACCCCCTGCCATGGCAGGAAAGAGTACTGGGGTCAAACGACCCCAGTAAGGTGGTCATCCAACCTCCTCTTAAAAACCCCCAGGGTGGGAGCCTGCACCACCTCACTTGGAAGCTGGTTCCAGACCCTAGCCGCCCTGACCGTGAAGTAGCG